GAGCGACCGGTTATTAGCCGATAACCGATCAATGACCGACCGTGACCGACCGTGACCGACCGGACCCATCCCTAGTCAAGAGCATATAATCCAATAAACATGCTATTCTAAAAATTTCCATTAACAATAAACGAAAATTAAACTAATCAAAATCTTGTAGATTTTATTTTTAATACTCTTCTAGAAAATTTTAACACTGATTATTTATTTGAAACCAGGACGTAGCAAAAAAAAATGATTGAAGAAAACAAATAGTAACAAATAGCTCAATAGTATTAATAAAAACTTTGTACCATTGCGTAAATTGGAGGATTTAATTAGAGATAGAACCTAGGTTGGCCAATGGACCAAAATGTGGCTTAGAAGATGCCAATGGACTATGTCCATTGACATTTCTCTCAGAAACCATCATAGTCCATTGCCAACCCTGGATAATTTTTAAATTTCAGCTAGTATAATTTGGTTGGCTTGCATAATGCTACGGGCTGCAAAGCCTATAGAGTGGATTCAAAAAATTCTCAATTTGCCAATCTCTAATGTAATTTAGAAACTTTTAAGTGATAAATACAGAAATAGAAAACCCATCAGTTATAATTTTGGTCAAATTTGCAGATCAGTTGACCAGATTTGAAATTGGTTTGTTTAGATCTGGCCAAAAGATCTGCAAATTTGGCCAAAATTATAACTGATAGGTTTTCTATTTATCAAATGATGCAAATCCATATACGTATATGAATTATTAACAATTGGTTTGTCATTTAGTTAAATATTTGCTGAAATAATTAAATAATTGATCGGCTATAGCTGTGACTAGCCAGTAATAATCGACTGATAACTGACAGAGTCCATCCCTAGGTACGGTTGCACTTTAACATGAACATTGGGTTTAATTTCAAATTATTAGGTATGTCAAATTGCTTAATGAAATTATAGTATTTTGTAAAAATTCATTTTGAATAATACATATAATTCTATAATAATATTCTATATAATTACAGGACACAACCAGAGTGGTCATCGAAATGGCAGGACATACGAGAAAACATCCATTGTTACAACTATGCAATATTCAGCTGCAGTAGTCAAGATCGATAGTCTAAAAATCTTCGCGGCCAAATAGATGCGATTTTTTCATTAGATTAATATAATCTTAAAAATTAGAATAAAATTGTCTTAAACAGATTTTAAAAAATCTTAAACTAATCTTAAAAATCTCAAAATAATCTTATAATCATCCTTATACTAATTTTATAATTTTATAATAATTTATAATAATCTAATAAACATAAAAAAATTATTTTATAAGAATTTTACTAAAACGCACCTATGGTATTTACATCTATGCATGCATTATTTCAAAAATGGTTAATTAATCAATACAAGGTGTTTCAAGTAAAAATGTTTTACGCCCCTGAAAAACATTCACAAATCCTAACGTGAAAAAATTTAAGTTAAAAAATTCTATAACAAAATTTATAATAACTTGGAAAATTTTAAAAAACATAATAAAAACATATAATAGGTGCAAAACACCATAGGTGCGTTTTATAATAATTGATTTTATAATATCATGATTTAGTTATAATTTTATTATTCACCGGGTATGCTGTTTCTCAAAAATGGCTTAGGTAATCAATATTCAGTATACTGTATTAACAAAGTATTCAACACTCTAAAAACCTAATCTTTACTTTAAACCCTAACTTTAAAGTTTAATTTTAAAGGTAAATTTTTCTATAAACAGTATAATAATTAAAAACACATCGTCGTGAATTTCACCTCCGGTGCATTAATCTTATAATAATTTAAATATTTTTATTATTATGATGCATTAAATCTTTTAATTATAAAAATATCATATTAATAATTTAATAATATTTTAAGCTCAAAAAATTTTTACTAGTTTTTGCAAGAGTATTGCTATTTTACCAGAAGGAAACTTACCGGTTGCAATATCTCAAAAATGGGACTAATAAACAAAGGTTCATATATACTAAGTAAAAATGTCCAGAACCCCAAAAAATAGTGTAACCTAATTTTAAAAGTATAGAGATTTAACTAGCTAGAATTGGTATCATAAATCATCATCCTTTGCATAATTTGTATAAGTTACAAGTATCTTGAAATAAAACCATTAAAAATAGAATAACATTGGCAAACATTCGTTTGGTAAAATTGCTGATTTAGACCAATTACCCAGACAGCCTATCCATGCACTTAAAGTACTTTTTGAAAATAATACTTTGCTAGTAATTAAATCATTTATTTAATAAATCGGTTTATTAAAGTGCTAGGACCTATTTTTAAAATTTTATGAAAGTTGGCTTGGAATCTTCAAAGAATGTTGACTTGTAATCTTCAAAGAGTATTGGCTTGGTAGTAAATTTTTACAAGTAGAGAAAAGTTAATAGATCATTCATTACAAAAATTTGCAAAAAAAAAAGCTTCAACCTAAAAACTATGACTGATTTTATTTTTTTTTAAAAAAAAGCGGATAATGGAATATTTTCGTTTATAGTAAAAGAAAATAATAATAAAATATTTTTAGATTGCTATAATGCAATTGTTATAAATGTATCTCTATCTTCGCAACATGTATTAAATTAGTAAGCTAGACATCTTAAGGTGCGTACATACGACATATGTGCTGATTTTTGGATGTTTACAATTTTTTAATCTAGATCTACCGGTCTGCTTTGAATATAACAACTACCAAAATGTTCGTCTCAATGAAGCGAACATTTGTTAATTGTTCCATTTAAAACGGACTGGTAGATCAAGATTAAAAAAAAATGTAAAGTTCCAAAAATCCCGAAATTAAGTGAAACGTTTCACGACATTTTTATTGCTATATATATCGGTTTTTTTGTACGTACGTACATATTACAATTAAATTCCTTTTAAAATGATACCATTACCAATCGAAGTGCTTTTTGATATATTCAGTAACCTCCATATTTATTATAAATGCTTATTTTCATGTCTTCTTGTAAATCGCCAATGGTGTAGGATAGTTGTACCAATATTATGGAGTGAACCAACAAATTATATTAGCGATGAAAGGCTTATAAGAATATATCTTTTAACGTTAAACCCAGAAGAACAAAAATTATTAATCCCTTTTAAAACTAACCTTCCGAATTATCCAAAACCATTATTTGAATATGCAAGTTATACTATTTCTATTGGTGATGGTTTACATGATGGAATTGAAAATTGGCTTTGTTATGAGTTTCATAATGAAGACAAGAAAATAATTAATGATAAGCTCGTAAACACTATTACATGTTCTTTAATTGCAATGTTCTTACGAACAAGTCATAACCTTAAGTACTTAAAACTTGGCGAAATGATTTATAATAAAATAATATTTGAAAGCCTTTATGAGAACACTACTGTTATATCTATCGAATATAAAATCAATGATGATTTTGAATATCAGGCAATAGTAAAAATCCTTCGCAAGAATGCTGTTCTAACTTCTTTGAATCTTAGCTATAGTAATACTAACTTTGGTTCAGAAGAAGGGAAGGCATTAGCAGAGGCTCTATACAAGAACACTTCTCTGACTTTTTTAGATCTTAGCTATAATCTACTTAGTTCTGTGGGAGGAAAAGCATTAGCAAAGGCTTTATGCAAGAACACTGCTTTGACTTCATTGGATCTTAGCTATAATATTATTACTTCTGAAGGAGGAAAAGCATTAGCAAAGGCATTATGCAAGAACGCTACTCTAACTTCTTTAGATCTTTGTGATAATTATATTTGTACTGAAGGAGCGAAAGCGTTTGCGGAGGCTTTATGCAAAAACACTGCTCTAACTTCTTTAAATCTTAGTGATAATAATATTTGTTCTGAAGGAGGTAAAGCTTTAGCAGAAGCTCTATGTAATAATTCTACTCTGACTTTCTTAAATATTTCTAATAATTCTATTGATTCTGATGGAGGAAAAGCACTAGCAGAGACTATATGCAAGAATACTACTCTGACTTCTTTAGACCTTAGCTGTAATCAACTTAGTGCTGAAGGAAGTGAAGTGTTAGCAAAGGCTTTATGTAAGAATACCACTTTGATTTCCTTAAATCTTAGCAATAATAATATTAACTCTGGAGAAGGAATAGCGTTAGCAAATGCTTTATGCAAAAACACTACTCTGACTTTTTTAGATCTTCGAAACAATTACCTTTACTCTGAAGGAGCAACAGCATTAGCAAGAGCTTTATGCGAAAACACTGCTCTGACTTCTTTAGACCTTTGTGATAATCATATTTGTTCTGAAGGAGGAAAAGCATTTGCAGATGCTTTATGCAAAAACGCTACTCTAATTTCTTTAAATCTTAGTGACAATCAAATTAATGCTGAAGGAGGAAAAGCTTTAGCAGATGCCCTATGCAAGAATACTACATTAACTTCGCTAGATCTTAGCTATAATGACATTAGTTCTGATGATGAAAAGACATTAGAAGAGCTCTATGTAAAAACACCAATCTGCTTCTTTAGATATTTATGATAATTTTTTGAGGAGGAAAAGCGTCGACTGCTCTAAGAAAGAATACCACTATTAATCTTTAAATCTTAGCTATAATTATTTCTGAGGAAGGGAAAGAATTTGCAGTGACTCTATACAAGAACACCATTTTGTCTTTGAATATGATTGTAATGATATTTGTTCTTCAGGAGGCAAAGCGCAAATAGAGACTCTGTACAATAATACCACCTTGTCCTTATTGTAACTTGGCTAAAATAAAATTTCTTTTGAATTTGATTTCTTTAAATTTTGAAATTTATAAAATGTGTTCTGTAGGAAGAAAAGTATATTAGTGGACGTTCTATATAAGAACACTATTGTATTTTCATTGTATCTTAGCCATAATAAATTTTGTTCTGAAAAATTGAAAAAAATATTTGTAGAGCTACATGCACTTTTTTAGAAACTTGTCGAATTCTTAATGCTCGGTAGCTGCATAGTAACTGTATATAGTACTTATATAGTTACTATGTAGTTACTGCGCATTAAGATATTCAGATTTCAGTATGCTACACTGACTTTAAATCTTAAACAATTATAAAGTTTTTTTCTTGAGGAAAAATTGGTGGAGATGCTATACAAGAACACTAATTTGACATGTTTGAATCTTAACTGTAATAAAATTTGGTTTTAAAGGAGTATTATTCTAAAAATTGCGATCGATAATTGAAATAGTAAAAAATCCGACTCGGTCTGTTTTAGTGATGGGCGATTACTTATCTATTAGATTAGTATTAATAACAATTACTTATGAGAATTGATAACAAATGTTAACTAATCTCATTTGCGTCAGTGATAAGGAATTGATCTAAGATACGTATTTCTAATCGTGATATAATAATTACATAATTAAGAATGATATTTATTGTATACAAATATCGAGAACTTTAAATTCTAAGTTATTACTACTACTTATTTACCAAAATTTTAAATAGCTTCATTAATCGTATGTAATCAATTTAGCTCTGTTTCATAGAAGTCCGAGTTTTAGCATTTACTAATTCTCATTTAAGCTTCTATTGGCCATTGGTAAGTCACATTTTTGGTTAACGATCCTTAATAACATGATGCTGATCTAGCCAATCAGGAAGCAAACCAAACCGTATCAATAACTGTAATACAATTGTAACGTCAGGATGCTAAACATAATTACCAAAGCATAATAGTAGTCATATCCTCAATACTACGATATGGATTTATTAAGTGAAGACAAACTATAACAGACAATGAATGCTAAGTTAAACAATAATCTAAGATGATCCAAGAAACAAATTACGTATAATGTATGAACAGAGATTTATTTTTTAAAGATGATTATTCAATTAATTGAGACAAATTAGATGGACAATTAAAAAAAATTACTTCTGCTTAAATTAAAGAACAACAAATACCTATTTTCACAACTTTTTAATGATCTTATTAATGATTTATTTAAACATATTCTTAATATTGGTCGTCTCATTAAGCATGATACACCAATTTGATACATTCGAATTAAAATGTAATTATGCAAACTTTTACATATTAACTTGCAATTAAATAAATATATTTGATATTTGAAGATTTATAGAATATATTTATAAAAAAAAATAAAATATTTTTTGATTACATATTGCTTAAAAAAATCTCCAAGTTAGTTTTTTTTTAAAAAAATAAAAATTTAAAATGTTTTAACATATTTCTAAATTAACAAATCATAATTAAGTATTTTTTGTATTACCATGCAAGTACTTTGATGTAATATTAGTGTATAAATCTGCAAAATTTCAATTATGCTCATTATATAAAAAAAGGTATAATAAAAAGAAAATTATCTATTTAAATTAGTATGCTATATAAAAATTAATAGTACTTATATATAAATAAGTTAGTAATTATTTTTTTTTAGTATTAAGATGATCTCTTTAGTCTTTTGACTTTTTATTAATGATTTTTTTGGTAATATAATTCAATGAACCATTATAGAAGAGTATACAATTGGTTATACATATAACTTTTCTATATTATTTATTTAAGAAGTCTGTCTAAAGATTCTTTACCAATTGTCATATTTAACATTTCTACTTGAATGTTTTACTTTAAACCTTTTGAATCTGCAGTCTGTGTTAACATCACTGAGTTATACTCAGATACTCAGATTATTATTTCAATCTTAGGAATATTTATCCTTAAAGTAAACCTCTCAAAGCTTTTTGTACCTATTTTTATAGTTAATCTGATATTAATATAGCAGAACCAATACTTGCAGTTAGAGTTATATTATTTAACTACTATGCTTTTGTAGAGTTTACTTAAAACCTAGCATCTACTTCATAGCATAACCTTAATACTTTAGTATACTTTTGCCTTTTTTGCCTTTTTACTAAACTTCTAATTCAGATAGTTTATGTAAGATTATGAATAGTCCATTAGTATATTAGATTAGTCTGATATTCTTTTTCTTTAGTTTATTTTAGTGGTCTAGTTGGAATATCTCTAAGTCTTTTTCAACCCAGAGGTTTTTGCCCATCTAAGTACTACAACCTTAATATTTATTTTTTCAAACTAGCCTTTACAGTAATATTATCAAAGATCTAGCTACTAGAGTTATGCAATTTGATTTAATTTAATTTGATTTAATTAAATATTTGAGTTTAAATCAATTCAAATCTGAAATTTTCAAATCAAATTAAATTTAAATATAATTAAATTTGATTTGATTTGACAAATATTTGATTTGATTTGAAAATTTATAATTGAATA